TATTTCAAATGTAGGCTTATATTTCACCCAAGTCTGACTAAACAACTGAACCGGAATGTCAGATCAGGATATTGGAATGTTAGACTTGCTAAGGAGTCAGAATTACTCACCACATTCAATACGCCACATGGGAAATTTTGTTTTAGGAGACTATCATTTGGTTCAAACTCATCACAGGACGTATTCCAGACAGTGGCGGCTCTAGGATATATTTGCTGGGGGGGGGGGTGGCTAAGTTGTCCGACAGGGGGGACTTGAGCTCATAGGTTGGAGCTGGGAGAAGGGGTTGAGAGGGGGGTTCCCCCTCCCAAATGAGATTTTTTTAAAGAATATCAACAACTAGATGGCCGAAAATGGCACTTATGGTCTGACTGCCCGACGAGGTCTGTCCGGCGGGGTGGGGGGCTTGACCTGTCCGGCGGGGGCTTAAGCCCCCTCCCACCCTGCTGGCGCCGCCACTGTCTATAGCACCCTCAGAAAATTGTTGAGACATACAATGGATTAAAAGGAGTCGTATGCATTGCCAATGACATTGTAGTGTATGGAAAATCTGAACAAGATCACGACAGAAATCTTGAGTTAACTCTGCAACGAACCAGAGAAAGGGGCCTAAAACTCAAGGATAAGTGTTATGTAAAACAGAACAACATAAAATTCTTCGGATACATTCTAACAGACGAAGGACTAAAGCCTGATGATTCAAAGGTAAAGGCAATCAAGGACATGAAAAGTCCAAATAATAAGCAACAGCTAATGTCACTGCTTGGGATGCTGAATTATTTAAGTAAATCAGAAATCAAAGATATAATTAGCGAAGCACCAGTGTTAGCATATTTCGATGCAGCTAAACCTATAACGATACAAACTGATGCAAGCTGTAAAGGGTGCCGTGCTAATTCAAGACTCAAAACCGGTAGCACACGTGAGCAAAAGCTTAACCGAGACTGAACAAAACTATAGTAACATAGAGCGTGAAATGCTATCAGTGGTCTTTGGGCTAGAGCAGTTCCATCACTATATTTATGGGAGAAAGGTACTGATAAATACTGACCACAAACCGCTTGAGTCAATAAGCCAGAAAAACCTCAAAAATGCCCCACCACAACTACTACAATTACTATTATGTATACAACCTTATGACTACCAAATACAGTATGTTACAGGAGTAGATGTTCCTAGGACAGAGTGTCTCTCTAGACTCCCATTAGAGGAAGCAAGGGAAACAGAGGACATTCAATGCTCTATCAACTAAGTTGTAAATGTTACACAATCAAGAATAGAAAAAATAAGGGAAGCTACAGCAGACGATAAGCTTCTAGTTGTTGCACACTTGACAAAAAATGGATGGCCGACTTGAAGGCAGCAGGATAATAATACCTGAAAACATTCAAACTGAACTATTGAAAAAGATCCACATTGGACATAAATGTATTGATAAATGCAGATTGCGTGCACGGTAAACTGTCTATTGGTCTAATATTAACGCTGATATTGAGGAGATGGTGAGAAAAAGCAGCCCATGTCAGGAGAACTAAAAGAAACAACAGACAGAAATGATAATACCAATTGAAGCTACAAATGTTTGGAAAACAGTAGGATCAGGCTTATTTTACTGGTGAGGATACGAGTATTTACTTGTTGTTGACTACTATAGTTCGTACTTCATAGTAAGGAGACTAACATCTACTATGACTACAGCTGTCATAAGCAAACTAAAGATTATTTTCTCAGAATTTGGTATACCTGCAACGTTTGTAGCGATAACACACGTCAATATGATTCAGCCAAGTTCAGAAATTTCGCAAAGGATATGAATTTGAGCACCGTACCAGCAGTCCAAGGTACCCACAAGCAAATGGGAAAAGTGAGATATGTCGGAATAGTGAAACAAGCACTTAAAAAGGCATATGCGGATGGTAGTTACCCATCATTAGCTTTATTGAGCATACACACAACACCAATATAAGCCGGAAAACCATCACTAGCCGAAATTTTATTCAATAACAAAATCCGATCAAACCTCCCACATGTTGATACATTGGAAAGAAACAAAGTATACAGAAATAAAAGCTGGATGAAATACCATGGATTACCACTCAAGGCCTTTACCTGAACTTAAGGAAGGAGAGAACATAAAAATGTTATTAAACCATAAAACATCAAAATGGGAGCAAGGAAAAGTACACACAATTCCAGAATATCCAGGATCGTATGTTGTACGAACGTAAAATGGACTGTATCGAAGAAATACAAGACACATAAGACTGACAAAGGAAAACGTAACACTCAACAACACAAACGAACAGAAAACAGTAGACGAGGATTTGAATAGTAGCTGAGTGGAACCGCGAACCATTAGTTGTGAAAAACCTGTGATTCTTGAAAAACAGAATCATGTTGTTACAAGTGACAATAAAGTCACTAGGTCAGGCCGTGTTATTAGAAAGCCTGAAAAGTTGAATATCTAACAAGGAGTGAAGTGCTGGTAACCTCTCCTCTGGTCTTCTTGTGTTATTATGTTGTGTTATATGAAAGCTCTTCAAGAATCACACACACACACACACAAAAGAGAAACAGAACAATCTATTATTAACTCACAAATTTATTGGACAATTTGCTGAACAATCTACTGAACTTTAAAAAAAAAAAAAAAATATACATAGCTTAGCAAAGCCCGGGATCTTGACTCGACTGTCATCTGAAACTATGTAAGGCAAACGACAGGTAACGTATTGCCTGTCGCAGGGGAACGTCACCACCTTAAAAAGGGCACGAAGACTGAATTGCAAAGGAGGCGTATGATCTGCAAAAGACACCGGCTCTAAAGACATTACAGCAAGGCGAGATTACACGCCTGAGTAAACAAGGGCACAGTATGACGTAGAATTGACCTGTGGTTGTCATGAAGATAGGGTGTGTTGGACTCTCAGCAGGAACTCACTGTAGGCCAGTTGTAGGCAGCAGTGCAACTGGACAGTTGTCTTGGGCACCTATAATAGTTCAGAAGTGGCTAAGCAATATCTATTGTCTTAGAGATTTACTGCGGGGCAGTTACCCATCTAGCCAGCTGTCTGGCTTAATGCCTGCCGTTGGAGTTCTAGATGAGTAACCCAGAGGGTGTGGATGCACCAGCACGATGTATCTCGCATCTAAAACACCAATGCAGGCTTATCTGATGCCAAACAGAGATCCAAAGTCGCAGGGTGATGAAACTACTTACGATGTCAGCAGGTGTGAGTTGCTGGGAGCTCGTAGTAAGTGTTCACTTCTGTGCGGTCCAGTGAGTGATGGTCGTGGATCACTGATGGATGACAGTGTACCAAGGTCCTTCCTGGATGACCAAGCAGCCCTGTTTAGGGATGCCCCACTTGTCTCAATAAAAAATATGAGATAAAAAGACTCATCCACTACTACCTTGCTGGCTGCCCACAGTCAGCAGGTCTCCATACCAGTGGGAAAAAGAAATCACAGAAAATATATATAGCATGCTAGAACATGCGAACGCTACTAGATAGCAACCAAAATTCAGTTAGACAAAAGACAGCTCTACTTGATAAGGAATTGAAGAGTTATAGTGTTGATATTGCTGCTCTCTCTGAAATGAGGCTTCCTGCCACTGGTGAGAGAAGGGAAAGTTGTTATACTGTACATTTTTTTGGAAAGGTCACGCATTGGGCTCGGATAAACAGGGAACTTCTGGAACAGGATTTGCAATCGCCAACAATCTTGTTTGCAAGCTAACAGAGTTTCTATGGCCATATCAGATAGAATTATAACATTAAGAATTCCATCCTCCCCCTCATCATATCTGTTTTTTGTAAGTTTTTATGCACCTACTTTGACGAATGACGTGGCTGTTATCGATGACTTCTATCACCAACTACGGATTGTGTTATAGCACCCAACGATGTCATAATTATTCTGGGCGACTTCAATGCCCGAGTTGGAAAAGACCACAAAACATGGCCAAGTGTGCTAGGCCACTTCGGCAGAGGCACGTTTAATAGTCATGGCGAGATTTTACTACAACTTTGTAACGAATACCATCTAGCAATAACTAACACCTTTTTCAATGTACCAGACCACCATTATTACTCATGGAAACACCCTCGCTCCAGTCACTGGCACCTGCTAGACTATGTGCTCATAAGTCAAAAGAATCTTCATCATGTATGTATCACTATAGAGCTATGAGAGGAGCAGAATGCTCAACAGATCACTGACTTACCTTAAAGTGACTTACTTTAAAGTGAAACAGGAGGCATTGAGTTTTTACTCATGAAATTGCCTCCTCTCTTGGATATGTGATTGTCATAGTTTTGTTTGAAATTGCGCTGTTTATGACATGTTGTGGTAAGGAGTTCCACTTATTTATGACACATGTATCAAGGAAAGTATCTCTTGTTTTAGTATTATGTCTATGGTTATAAAGTGTTTGTGTGTGGCCTCTGAGGAAATGTTCTCCTGGTCTAAAACGAAAGGTGAAAAAGTTTGAAACCTTTATGTCATCAAAGCCATTCAGTATCTTGTAGGTTTCAATCATATCTCCACATTCTCTTCTTTGCTGCATAGTAGAGAGTTCTAACCGTGACAGTCTTTTTATCTGCTGAAAGAAATTGTAGTACTGGTACCAGCTTGGTAGCTCTGTTTTGCACTTTCTCAAGCTTTGATATGTCTTTTAATAGATAAGGTGACCAAGCCTGTACTGCAAATTCCATTGTTGACCTGACAAGCGTTTTGTAGAAAGAAAGGAACATCTCTTGGTCCATGTAGGAGAATGTGCGCTTTATCATTGCAATCATAGAATTTGCTTTGGAAACAACCTTGCCTACTTGTACTGAGGATTTCAGGTCAGGTGTAACATATACTCCAAGATCTCTTTGTGTTGTGACTGGTTGCAGTTGATTTGCACCAATAAAATAGGAATGGTTTTGATTTCTGGATCCGATATGTAAGGTACTACATTTTAATTGGTTAAACTGCGCACTCATGTAGCCTGTTTATGCCTTCTTGGAGTAAGTCATCATAGGCAGGGGAAGAAATTCGTCGGTAGATCTTGGCGTCATCAGCTTGCCGCTTGAGTTGATACCATCAAGTAGGTTATTTACAAAGATAAGAAAAAGTATTGGTCCAATTACTGAACCCTGTATGACGCCACTTGTTTCTTCTTGCCTAGATGAAAGGTGGCCCTTCACGGAAACACTCTGTTGCCTCGAACTAAGGAAATTGGATATCCAAATTAAAACCCTACCAGTAATACCATTGGCTTTGAGTTTAGTTTTCAAGCTTTCATGTGGAACTGTGCCAAACGCCTTCTTGTATATAACATCTACTGGATCGCTATTATTAACTGCGTTATGTATATCCCGAAAAAACTCTAGTAGTTGTGTCAGACACGGACGACGAGAATGAAAGCCATGCTGGTTGTAGCTTAACAGATCATTTTTTTTAGGTGCTTTACAATTTCATTGCGGATAATTTTCTCGAGTAGTTTGCAGACCACAGAAGTAAGAGAGATAGGTCGGTAATTTGCTGGATCTGTTCTTGAGCCACTTTTGTGTATTGGTATCACAGTTGCTTTTTTCCATGATAGGGGGATGTCACCAGTTAACAAGGATTTTTTGAAAATGTAGAAAATGGGTATAGCTAATGATGCAGAGCATTCTTTAATCACACGTGGATGAACCCCGTCGGGTCCTGGAGATGAGTTGGGATTTAGTTCTGATATAACTTTGATAATATCATCAAGAGACAGGTCTACATCTTGAAGAAACTGGTCCACATGTTTTGTTTCAGGGTGCGGAACTGATGAAGTATCTTCTTTAATAAAGACTTTATGGAAAGTTGAATTGAGAATTTTACTACATTCCGCATTTGATGACGAAAGTGTACCATCGGTGCGTTTAATTTGGGTGACAGTTGCTTTAACATTTGCACAACTTCTAGCGTATGAGAAAAAGGCCTTTGGATTCTTCTTGACATTTGCTGCAATATCTATTTCACATTGTGCTTTTGCCGATCTATCTGCAGCTACAGATTCATTCCTGGCCTTCTAGTATTTCCTGTACCTAATTTGGGAACGCTTCTTTCGGTAACGTGACCAAGCTATTGCCAGTAAATTCAAGTGGTGTTTATTGAACCAAGACACTCTGTACAATATACAAACTTTCAACAGCAGTTACAGTTAAAGTAACTGAGTTGACATTGTATACAGTCACTTCCTAAATTTAGAGAGTGGGAAATGTGGTGTTTCATACTGTCGTCCTGTGTGATGATAGAAGAGATGCCCATGTGAGTGACTAACCATGAGAAAACTATAAATTTGTTCCGTTGAGTTATATTGCTGTGATATTATTGTCTATATATTGCTTTATTCGAGTACTCAACACCATATCATATTATTATTACTTTGAATTAACCCCTTCAACTCCTTGTGGAGCATGGGTCCTTGGAAATAGCCCACCATCGCACACTGTTTTAAGCTGGTCCAGAGAGTACACTGTCTCCTTGCCTCCACAAACTGTTTCTTGAGTGACTTTCATTTCTTTTTCCCTGTGGCTTCCATTTCAAGGCTTGACTAGTAATGTTATCGAGTGGTTTTTTAAGTGTATGACCAATCCAGCCCCACCGCAAATCTGTCCATTCTTTCCTGATCAGTTTTTTTTCCCCTAGATTTGTTCATTACTGATTGTTTCTGCCCAGTATATATTCATGATGGATCTAAGACATTTATTTACAAAAGTTTTTTTGCTAATTTTGGTTAGCTTTGGTTTTTAGAAGAACTAGAGTGACTGTATAATGGTAAAGTGTTTAAAAATCATTAATAAAGATTCTCAAAGGCATGATCTTTAAATAAATTTTTTGAATTTTTGCCATCAGATCATAATTTTTTTACTGGCTTTTTCTTTACTAGAAACCAGTAGTGGATCTAGAGGGGGTGAATAAGGTGGCCAGGCACCCCCCATCGTTTAGGAAAAAAAAAATAATAATTGTCACTCGTCTTGTGTGTATCATTTTTTCGTGAACTCTGGTAAAACATACACTTTCAATTTTAAGCTTACTTCTTTTCAGATGTCATCTAAGACCATTTCAGTCTACTAATTTTTAAAAAATCTCAAATGTGAAGGGATGCTCAACTCAACCTCCACCCTCCTCCCCACAACCGCTCGGTCCTTCTCACCTCTATTATTCACTCCCCATTGCTAAGTCCTAGATCCGCCACTGGAAACTTATATTGTGATCCGAGATTTCGACTTGGAAAGTGCCTTTCGACTATTTCAGATAGGTATTGCGGTGCCACACCTTGAAGATTTAATTTGACATAGAAAGTTGTGAAGCTATCTCTACTCCAAGGCTTTTAGCACTGGACAGCACCTTAATTTATTCATCACCAATCTCAATGGGATTTAAATGCAATATCTCATACAGCCAGTTATATTGCAACTGATCTCATGCAACCACTAGCTTGTGTAACTGATATCTCGTACACTAACTCCCCTATGAAATTGATATCTCATACACCCACTCCCCAATGCAACTGGTAACTCATGCACCCACTCCATAGTGCAACTGATATCTCAGGAGCCAGTGCAACTGATATCTCATACACCTACTCCAAAATGTAACTGATGTTTAATAAACTCACTCCCATATTATGGATCCCCAAATCTTACCTGACATATTAAGAATGGTTGAAGTCTTTTTCTCGACATTCAACAAATCATAAGGTGACACAAAGAAGGTTAAACGCATCGGATAACCTGAAGAAAAAATGTAAAAATAAATGCTAGCATTAAAAAACTAATACATTTAAACAATTGGGATTATGCTATTATTATAAGGCCAACAAAAAAAAAAATGTTTGTTTGCCCTCCTCCACCCGCCCCTAACTCACTGAAAAAATAGGGGTGTAAAAACAAAAAAAAACTTTAAAAAAGTTTTTTTTTTAGTTTTTTTCTTCACAGATTAAAAAAAATGTGAGTGAATTTATTTTTATTTTTTGCCAGATGCCCTACAAATTAGCCTAATGTTGTCTGATGTGAGATATTGCCATTCTAGGCCTCTGTAGTACGGCAGCTTAGGGCCAAATTGGACTTAATGTGGACGTTCTGGACAAAAGCACCAATTTTTTTTTACATGCTCCTTATGGTCATAGCATTGAATTTTTGGTAGGAACCACCTCATCCGAGGTCATTATGGCGGCCATCTTGGATTTCAAAATGGTAGCCTTATAAAACCTATGTTTATCTATATCTCCGCTTCTAAATCACTTTGTATGTTTATATGATCGAGGAATACCATCATATCATATTTGACCTGGTCAGATTGCCACAAATGGGTCACTTAAGGTCATTCAAGGTCAAATATTGTATGGTATCTTTAAAATTACGTAATTGTCAAATTTTACATTATAATCATACCCAGGATCTCAGATTTAAAAATTTTTACTATGAACTACAATATTTCATTTGAGGTCATTCTGGCGGCCATCTTGAATTTCAAAATGGCTGCCACGCAAAACATATATTTATCAATATATCGACTTTTAACTATTTCCAATAAGAATTATGATGTCTAAAAATATATTTTCATGCACCTCATCCGAGGTCATTATGGCGGCCATCTTGGATTTCAAAATGGTAGCCTTATAAAACCTATGTTTATCTATATCTCCGCTTCTAAATCACTTTAAATTATAATTCTAATGTCGAAGAGTATGTTTATATGATCGAGGAATACCATCATATCATATTTGACCTGGTCAGAATACCACAAATGGGTCACTTAAGGTCATTCAAGGTCAAATGTTGTATGGTATCTTTAAAATTACGTAATTGTCAAATTTTACATTATAATCATACCCAGGATCTCAGAATTAAAAATTTTTACTATGAACTACAATATTTCATTTGAGGTCATTCTGGCGGCCATCTTGAATTTCAAAATGGCTGCCACGCAAAACATATATTTATCAATATAACGACTTTTAAACTACTTCCAATAAGAATTATGATGTCTAAAAATACATTTTCATGGTCAATGATTTATAGCACTTGTGACATGGTCAGATGGTCATTTAAGATCATTCAATTTCATTTTTCTGTTAAATACGTATAAAATCTTATTTTATAATAAATAAGTTTGTAAGTGGTCATGTTTTACAGCAAAATCATACATAAGCTCACAAAATTTGATAGGAACTATTTCATCAGAGGTCATTCTGACAGCCATTTTAAGTCAAGGTCATTTAGCAGCCATATTAAATTTCAAGGTGACCACCATGTAAAACATGTTTTGTTCTTTTAAATATGTTTACTGTACTGCATAGTCAAAGAATAACATCAAAAGTAGTAACATGTATTTGTATTTATTATATTCCATTATATATTGGAAAAAGTCTGACATCAGATATTGTATTTAATGTGAAATGATAAATTGATATAAAAAAGAATGGTATAATATATATATAGGTTATATTTATTTCTGATAGAACTTTTATGGTTATTACATCTGTTACGGAAAAAGCAACCCGTTTCTCCGACATAGCAAACCCCGTTACAAGTGGTACACCAAATAAGATAGAACTTTTATGGTTATTACATCTGTTACAGAAAAAGCAACCCGTTTCTCCGACATAGCAAACCCCGTTACAAGTGGTACACCAAATAAGATAGAACTTTTATGGTTATTACATCTGTTACGGAAAAAGCAACCCGTTTCTCCGACATAGCAAACCCCGTTACAAGTGGTACACCAAATAAGATAGAACTTTTATGGTTATTAATAAATAAATAAATAAAAATAAATATAACCTTCCTGTAGCTAAGCATTTTAATCAAGTTAACCACTCATTAAATAATATGAAATTCATTCTTATAGCCAGCGGATTTAGGTCATTGGCAGATAGACGATGCGCCGAAATTAGATGGATCCTTAAATTAAATACACATAAATGTGGTGCAAATAAAGATTTGGGCTTCGCATCTTCATATTCATTCGCCAAATAAGACCTTATACTTATCATAGCATATCGTTCAATATATTATATCATTTAATTTTCTGCATCAATTTTAAGCATATATATTTATATTTATATTTTTGTTCATATATGCCCTGATTTTATATCTCCATTATACATAGTTAGTAATATATATGCCTATTTATGCTCTATTTCCTGCTTCACATAGGCCATATCTATTACAGCCTTAAGATTATAGTCCTCTGTTTATCATTTAGGCCTATATCATTGATTCTGACCATTGATCCATAACATTGTTCTTACAGATTTTCTATTCTCTTCACAGTTCATTAGCTGTCTCTTATACACATCTAGATGTGTATAAGAGACAGACATCAAGTTCTTCAATCCAGACAGAAGCGGTAAAGAAAGACACATTGTGGAATCTATTATATGCAGATGACCTGGTGTTGATGGCTGAGTCTATGGACTGTCTCTTATACACATCTAGATAGCGTCTAGTACCGTATTCTTAGGGATGCAGTCGCCATCTAGCTCAGTTGAGTGAAAGAAGGCCAAGTGCATAAGTCCTTCCTGGTGGTATATAGCTTCTACTAAGTCAAGACTCTTATATTGCCTCCTCGTGGCACACCATGGTAACTGGTGCCTTGCAGTTCCAGGCTAAAATATGAGGGTTCTAAGAGAAGGACAACTTTGATTTCAAACCCGGGCGGGTGAAACTCGTTAGCCTCGTAAGGTTATTCACCTAAGAGAAGGAAAACTCTGACTCCAAACCCGGGCGGATTAAGCTCGTTATCCGCACATGGAGTTCTGTGTGTGGAGGGTGTGTGGACTCCCTGATGGAAGAACATATTGGTCAAAGCCTGGAAGAGTTCATTGTAGAACCAACGAGCATCCATCCTATCCCCTAGGGTTATGGGTTGATGGTAAGCTAGGGCAGGCTCATCATAAAAACAAAACGCACCAATAACTCAACATGGCAGTAAACTACAATATGGGCAGCAGCCAGCCCGGAGGTTGCCGTGGGCGGTACCAGCCTACGTCAAAAAGAAAGGTACAGACCCTCAATCAAGGCCGCGAAGAATTGGTCTTCCTCATGGCGGCTCGTTTGGGCCTGATGTGTGGTCGAAATTGAGGTTTGGAAGCTGGAACATTGGTTCCATGGTTGGTAGAAGTATGGAGTTGGTAGAAGAATTAAGAACGCGACGGGTGGATATATGTTGCTTGCAAGAGACAAGATGGAAAGGAGGTAGTGCACGATTTATTGGAGCTAAAGGTGAAAGATACAAGTTCTGGTGGAAAGGCGGTGATGTCTCTGCAGGTGTTGGGGTAATGATAAAGGAGGAGCTTTCAGGTCAAGTTATCGAAGTACGGAGAAAAAGTGACAGAATTATTGTTGTATTTTTGTAGTAATAGTACAGGGGAAGCAAGTAATAAGAGTGGTTAGCTGTTATGCACCACAAGTTGGCCGAGATGAAGTAGAGAAAAATAAATTTTACGACGACTTAGTAGAAGAATTGGGATTGAAAGGAAAAAAAGAGTTCTTAGTCGTAGCAGGTGACTTCAATGGCCACATTGGAAAGGATATAGATGGTTATGAAGGAATTCATGGAGGTTTTAGTATAGGTACACGAAATAGAGAAGGAAGAAGGTTGCTGGAGTTCTGCGCAGAATCAAATTTAGTAGTGGGTAACACTTGGTTTAAAAATAAAAGAAAGGCAACATTTCAATCCGGTGTTGCAGAAACTCAAATCGACTTTATGTTGGTAGAGAATGAATGGCGAAAAAAGATCCAAAATGTGAAGGTGATTTCAGGGGAACTTCAACACAGCTTACTGGTAATGGATGTTGGATGAATTGTGGATGTGTAGCTCAGAAAAGGATACATGGCTAAAATATAAACTATGTGCTCTGAACGCAACCAAAGAAGTATGTGGAGTGAGCAAAGGCAAGACACCTCAGGGTGAAACCTGGTGGTGGAATGAGGAAGTGCAAGAAGCAATTGCAAAGAAGAAGGTTAGTTTCAAGCACATGCAGAAGCAGAACACGGAGCAAAATAAGGCAAGGTATAAGAGGAACAAGAAGAAGGCTAAGAAAGTAGTTGCTGCAGCCATGAAGAAAGAAACGGAGAAAGAGCTGGAAATGCTGAGTAGAGGGGGCCAAGCCATCTTCAAAAAGTTAAGAATTTTAAGGAAAGAGTCACAGGATATCTATGAAAGTAACTGCATCAAGGGTAAGGATGGTAAAATCTACTTTGATGAAGTGGATAGAGGGAAGATCTGGAGAACTTATATGGAAAGTATTATGAATAAGGAGAACGAGTGGGATGGTGTAGTGGATGCAGAGAAAGTAGAAGGACCAGTGGAAGGCATTACGAGAGAAGAAGTGAAGAAAGCGCTGAACACCTCAAAAAATGGGAAAGCAGGGGGGCCATCGGGCATTACAAAAGAACATTTCATATCATCACAGCATGGAGTAGAAGTATTATATCAGGTGGCAAATGATATTATGAAAGGTGCCAGTATGCCGGATGATTGGAAGCTAAGCATCTTAATACCAATCTATAAGGGAAAAGGAAGTGTGATGGATTGTGGTTCATATCGTGGGGTGAAACTACTGGAGCAGGGTATGAAGGTGATAGAACGAGTTTTGGAGAGGAGATTGCGAGATATTATCAAAATTGATGATATGCAGTTTGGTTTTATGCCAGGAAAGGGTACAGTAGATGCTATCTTCATTGCGAGAAGGATGCAGAATGTCATCATGATAAAAGGAAGAAACTGTTTATGTGTTTTGTAGATCTGGAGAAAGCTTTTGATAGAATACCACGCTCTGTTATCGCTTGGGCATTACGTAAAAGAATGGTTCCAGAAGGTCTGGTGAAATATGTCATGGTACTGTATGAAGAAGCTCACACAAAAATCAAATGTGGTAATGGCTTCTCAGAGAGTTTTAGCGTGGGAGTAGGTCTTCACCAGGGTTCAGTCTTGTCACCACTGTTGTTCGCAACAGTAATTGATGTCCTGACAAAAGCAATAAAGAAAGACACATTGTGGAATCTATTATATGCAGATGACCTGGTGTTGATGGCTGAGTCTATGGATCAGCTAGAGCAAGATTTCAGGAAGTTGAAAGAGGCCTTTGAAAGTAAAGGCCTGAAAGTTAACATGGTAAAGACAAAAGTGCTGGAAGCCAGTGGTGGTACACAGGTGGTAGAAGAGGCCAAAATAAACCCATGTGGTGTATGCGGGAAAAGAGTTATGAGTAACTCCATCAAGTGCGGACTA